GGCCCCCTCTGCTCCCCTCCAAATCTGCCTTCTTGAGATACCCCCACCCAGCTGGAAGCTCTCTCCCCTTCCTCAACCCAGGCCCGGGGGCTCCTCATAACCCTCTGTGTCCTTTCTCCCCTGTGGACTGTTAGCCCCTGGGGAGCAGGGTCCCATGAGGATGTCCCCGTGCCTCCCTCACCTGCATGTGGCAGCTTCTCGGTGAGTGCTCCCCAGAGCACTGGTGGAGCTGGACCTCCTCAGAGCAGCACCAGCCTCCCTTCGTGGGAAGCGGCATTGCTCCTGGTGGGGTGGAGGGGATGACAGTGACCGCTGCTGACACAGGCAGCAACAGTGCCCACGAGATCACAGGATGGGCCAGCAGAGAGAGCGCCAGGTCTGGGTGCTGGTCCACTGGCGCTTGAATCCCAGCTTGTCACTTGCTGTGTGACTTCGGGCATAAGAGCAAAGTTGTCTGTTTAAAATGGCCTCATGTGTAAAAGGCCTCCTGGCAGGAAGCATCTGGGCTTTGGGGCTCACATGTGAGCACTCCGGCATCCTATCTCCTGAGCCTTGGGGGATATCACGGCAGAGCGTGGTTAAGTCCACAGGCCTGGTTGCGGTGAGCCCGTCTTGCTTGCTTCCGGAAGCCTGGAGCTTGGGTCATCCTAGGGCCTCCTGCTCATAGGCACTCAGGGCTGAAGGCAGTTCCAGCCCCCTCCTGGACCCAAACCCCTGCAGGGCCATGCGGCTGCCAAGTTCCTTGTCCGGGCGTTGGTGGAAGATGTGCCCAAGGAAGTGCCTTGCTGAGCAGTTGTGCACAGAGCATCCCTGGGGGCGGTGACGAGCTGCTTGTCTCCAGCGGCAGCTGGGCCTCTCCTTGCATGTCCAGCAGATCCCCTAACCTCTGACCAGCCAGCCCAGAAGAGCTACAGACCCAAGGAGACAGTGCTCAGAATGCCGAGACAAGGCTACCACAGGTGGGCTTCTGAGAGGAGGTGGCAGGGGAGCCTGTCTGCGCTGAGCCCGGACATGAGGATGGCTGGTGTCCAGCCCTCGCAGGGCTGATGGGACTCACAATGGGCCAGCTGCCGCCTCGCCCCAGGTCCAGCAGACCTGCCTTCTCACCGTGCACACAGGCAGCTCACGCTCTCGCGGCCACCTGATGCCATCGACACGCAGGTGCCCAGAAGCCCACACCTGCAACCCACAGGGGTGCAGAGATGCTGGCGCAGATGGGTCCACCGGTTCCCGAACCAGAAGTCCTAGGCCCTCGTTTTATCCTCTTCGTGAGCAGACGTTGACCTTGTAGGGGCCATTATTCTCACGGGGCCTCAGCTTCCTTACCTGTAAAAGGAGGTCCTGTGTCATGCAGAGGCCTACGAGTTTCAGGTAAAGTCTCTGCACGTGCGAAGGGACTTTTTAAGCCAGTGGCTATCAAACCTAGCTGCATGGGCGGTGGCGGGGGGGTCACTGGGACCTTTAGAGTCTACTGATGGCTCATCCCAGCCCCAGAGAGGCCAAGTGTGATGGGTCTACATGGCAGCTGGGGGTGGCAGGGGGCAGATAATGGAGCCTCCTCTCTCCCTGCTCATCTGCATTAAGTATAACCCCACCCCACCCCCAAAACAGTAGAGCAGACACATCATAGAAATCTCAAGGGTGGAAAGAGGAAGGTGGGCTGGCTAAGGACCCCAGGACTTGAGGAAAAACACAGGAGCCATGTCCCCCACCTCCCATGAAGTGGCAGCAGGCGGCCAGGTAGGCATCTTCCTCCCCAAGCCTCACTGGCAGATACGAAACAGGAGGCCTATGGGCAGCCTGGAGGGTGGGCCCGGGAGACCCTCTCCACCGCAGCCGGTGCCTCACACCCCCACCTCGGGGCACAGAGCAACGGGGGAAGCACGGCTGGTCCCGGGAACCCCAGCCGGGCTCGGCAGACCAGAAGAGCATGTTCTGAAAACCAGCTTGTCCTCAGAATCACAGGCCGTAACACACCAGGCCCCATGTGCCAACTCAAGCAGGCGGCAGCTCCTTCAGTAGAAGGCTCTACCAGGATCCGGTGTCCCCAGACGTCACATCCGGGAGACGATATGGAGGACTACTCCCCCACACCAGGAGCCATGAAGATAACGATTTGAACCGGCAGACGAGAGAGATGCGACACTAAGAACCGGATGTCGGGGTTCCCGGACGAGGATGTTTAGGGCAGCCACCCGAAAAATGCTTCAGCAAACACCCGAAAAGAAAGAAATTTCAGCAAAGAAATAGGCATTATCCACCCCCCCCAAAAAAGAGAATCAAATGGAAACTATAGAACTGAAAGATAAAATAACCCAAATTAAAAAGTCACCGATGGATTCAGAAACAGCGTAGCAGAATACGGCAGAGCAGTCAGCCGTCCCGTACATGGAGCAGCAGAAATGATCCAGTCTGAGCGACAGAGGGAAAACAGCAGTGAAAAGATGAACGGGGCCTCAGAGGTCTGTGGGGCAACATCTGTCGCGGTGGAGTCCCGGAAGGAGAGAAGAGAGTGGGCTGGAAAAAGCATTCAAAGATATGGCTAAACACTTCCAAAAGGTGGCCAAAGACCTAAACCTACAGGTTCAGGAAACTACAAGAACCCCAAATAGGACAAGTCCGAAGGAGTTCATGCCAAAACCAGTTACGACGATAACTGAACCTCTAAAATCTGAAGACAGAGGACGGCAGGTCTTGAGAACATCCACAGCAGAAGACAGACTCCCTGGAGGACAAGGCCAACTGGAGACAGCAGGTTTCTCTGCGGAAACCGCGGGGCCAGCGGAAAGGGGGTGCTTTCCGTGTGCCGAAGAAGGTTGCCATCGACACGAATTCTGCACCAGGGGAGCCTATCCCGCGGGAATGAATGGGAAATGAAGAAACTCTCAACACTAAGCATTTTTCACGAGTAGAGGTTGTTTAAAGAATCGCAGGCAGCAGGTGCTCAAGCAGAGAGGAGGACATGGTAAGAGAAGACCCGGGGCTTTAGAATGGAGAGGATATCAAAGGGGTAAAAACGGGGCGAATATCATCGACCCTTCTCCTTTCCACGAGGTTATGAAATCCTGTCTGATGGTTGAAGCAGAATTTGTGATGTTATGTGATGTGGGAGCTCGAGGTAGGTAGAAGGGACACCCAGGACAATTGTCGTTGGAAAGTCAGGAGAACAGCTCCGTGGAGTAGGGTCTGTGTGCTTCATGCGAAGCGGTCAGACGCGGAGACCGCAGGTGGCAGCCTGAGCACGGGGCCCTGTGACAGCCATCCGGGTGACAACGGTGCCTCCGGGCACAGGACAGAGGTGAGGGTACTGCTCTTCTCAAGGCCCCAAACCTTCGTGTGCATCAGAATGTCCAAGAGGGCAGCTTGTCTACCACAGCTCATGGGACCCCAGCCCAGAATCCAATGCAGCAAATCGGGGGCGGGCCCTGAGAATTTGCCTCTCTAACCGGTTCCCGATGAGCCTGATGCCGCTAGTTGGGGACCCCACTTTGAGAACCACTGCTCTAGCATCTTTGGTCGATCGGGAGCCCCTGTGTCTCAGTGGCGGGTCCCTCAGGTCCTCAACCGCACAGCCTCACATTGCGGAATGTGCCTGGCTCTGTGCGTAAATTAGGAGGGACCCCAGGACTGTGAGTCAGGGGGCCTTGTTTGGCATCCCGGGGCTGGGTGACCTCAGGCAGACCCCCCGACTCGGGGCCTCAATTCCCCCTCTATAGAATGGGAGGCTTCGGAGAGGCTGGGAGGAACAGGGGCGGCACAGCAGGTCTGGCCCCTCGCCCCTCTTCTGTGTCCCGCTCCCCTGCCCCCCTCTTTCATAGGTCGGAGTTTACATAAACTCTCGTGTGGCAAGAGGGTGTCTTTGTTAAAAGAAGTTTGAGAACCCTGACCTTGATGTGGCAAAAGGCCCTTTCTGACCCCCATCCGGGACCTTCCGACAGGCCGCATGGGGGCAAACATGTTCCCAGGATAGGCTTCCCGGGTCCACATGTGAGCCGTGCAGAATGTCGTCTCCGTCCCCAGAGTTCGTGAAGGACCCCCTGAGATGAAAGGCATCTGGATGAGCCTCCGTCTGGCCCTCCTGGAAGGGTTGGGTGGGCAGTTCTGTGCGTGGCACCCACCTCGCCTCTGGAGGCTCGGTGCTTAGTCGCATGGACGCGCACGGCCTTGTGAACACCCTGACAGGCAGCCCGCTGGCTCCTGCGGTGGGTGCCGGCATTTGGTGCTATGTGTTGTCGCCGAGCTGCTGGTGGCCAGCCAGTGCTGGGAGCAAGGAGCCCCGGAGCTCCCTCCAGGGGAGGCGGCATCCTGCCCCTCCGGGGGGCTAGGCTCTGCCGCGTGTCCTGCCCCTGAGCCAGGAGGCCATACCAGAAAGCCTCTGTGCCACCTCTCCAGACCCGTTGCAGAGGTTAACCGGGAGACCTCAAAGCCCGGGGCCCATGCAGGGCAGCCAGGGATGTGAGTGGCAGAGCTGGGTCAGCTGCGGGATCCCCATGGTCTCAGACCAGCCTTTTTGTTTCAAGAGAAGCCAGAAGTGAGGATCTTAATGTGAAATCCCCCAATGGCAAGTAGCTCAAGATCATTTTAAAAAATAAAAAATTCTTCCTATGCCGCCTTTGGTTGGTAGCAGGCCCCCGTGAGCCGACCCTGGCACAGGATGGCACAGCCCTAACCCCCCACGGGGTTTCCTTCCTGCCCCTGTCCCAGCTCTCCAGCTCTGCTGGGTGAGGAGCTCGGCCTAGGTGACAGGTGATGCCAAGACCTGAGGCTGCTGGAGAACACAGGTGCCCAAGAGGGTGCCACGGTGTTCCCGGTGTCCTAGGCGGGCTCAGGGGCATCACGCCCTTGCCGGCTTCTTCCTCAGCCAGCACCCTGGGGACGGAGGTCATGACGGAGGCAGGGCGTGATCTTCGGGGGCCCCTCTGGGTGTCACGAACTCAGCCCCTCCGGCCGGGGCCCGGCCTCTGTGCGTGCGTGACAGAGCTGTGCTGTGTCTGTTTCAGGATTCCCCTATTCCAAATCTGACCCTCTCCCAGGACACGGAAAGAATGGCTTGGACCACCGGGTAGGTACTCGACCCCTCCCTGGCTCGCGGTATACTAACCATCACCCGCCGGGAGCCTGAGCGTGGTGCCCACAGCCTCTTGACCACACAGCCGGAAGGAGGGGCCCGGGGACCCCTCTCGCCCACTGCCTCTGCCTGTGCCCCCCACCCCCGCCCCTGCCCCAGGGGCTGTGCTGGTGCTTCTGCAGACCAGGGCCAGACCAGAACTGGGACACCCTCCCCTCCTCCCGTCTAACCCCAGCCCCAGCTCCCAAGGAGACCTCAGTGTGGTGGGGAGCGGGAGACAGGGCCACGCAGAGTATTCCAACCCCCTGAGGCCCCTTCTGACCCTCATCCTTCTTCTATGACCCAGAGCCTAATAAGGGGCTTAAAGGATCAGCTACTTGGGGAGCAACGTGAGCCACGGATCCACTTCCTTCCTGGGGTGCCCCGGCCCCTCACGACGGTCACCACGAACGGTACCTTGAACATCTGTGGCTATTACCGTCACCCCTAGTACTGCCACTTGCCCTGTAATTATCCCTGGGTCCCACACTCCGTAGCTGGCTTTCTCTGGCTGCTCCCAGCTAAAGGCTGGCCGGACTTCCCAATCCAGGACATTGGAATGTGAGCCCAGAGAGTTTGGCGCCCGACTTGGCCCCACGGAGGGGCTGGGCGGCTTTCTGTCACTGTTTCCACAGCTTCACTAGTCCCCAGTGAGGACCCCTGGGGTGGGGCGGGTGTGATGGCACCAGAGCCCCCCCCACACACACACACACAGCCCCAGGACACCCCCCTCTCAGGCACCTCTCTGCTGTCTGAAACCGGGGCGAGTTGTTCCGCTGGAGAAGGTGCTCAGAGGTCGAACCCCCGTGTGTTGCATGGCAGGGTTCTCGGCAGTAAGTGTGTAACGCCCGGGACAGCCTTCTGCAGCCCCCAGGGCACACCTCGCATCCAGGGGCCCGGCCGCAGGGACCCGTCTAAGAACAGGGATGAGGCAGGCGTTTTCTCAGCCTTGTTCGTCTTCCTCGGGCCCTGTCCGACCTACCGTTGTGCCCGTCCGGGGCCCAGGCACCTCTGCATGGTTTGACTCTAGTGAAGCCCCCTTCCCACTAATCTCACTTCCAATTCTGGAATGGGCCGAGTCAGGGCGTGCATGCCGCATGCTCCTCTCGATTTTCTTCTAAGGATTTCTGCACCCTTCATCTTCAGTGGACAGCGGGCACGGGACGGGGGGCAGGAGGACGTCCACGGGACCCCCACAGCACCAGGAATTGTCAGTCCTTGGGCTCAGGGTTAGGGGTCCTGAGGGGCGGTGGGGAAATGGTCCAGAATGTTCTCTGCGTACCTGGAACAGCTGTTCTGGGACTCAGGCCCATGAGGGTGGCAGTGTTCCACCCCTCGAGCCAAGTCCTGGACTGTCCCTCGATATGTGGAAGACCAGGGAGGAATGCCCAGCATTTCTAGCCTTGCTTCATTGGTGCCTGGGCCACGTGTCCTCTGGGGAGATGCCCTCCTTGGTTCATGCTGGAATGACTTGGATCGATGCCCCCAGCACCTGCAGAGAAGGCCACGGCCTCACACGCCCCACCCCCACAAGAGCTGGGAACAGCTGACCCAGACATTTCATCATGGACACCGTCTTCACTCCCTCTCCCAGAACGAGTGAGAGTAGAGGCTAGAGCTGTAGAGTCGAGAGCTGAGCCTCTGTGAATGTTTCTCCCGCCGGCCTCAAGGCGGGGGAGGCCTGTGCGTCCTGCAGATGCTGGGGGGTTGGCAAAGGGGGCTGCATCCTCGTGGGAAGATCTTCAGCTTTTCACGTGGCTTATGTGGAGATTGGTGACTCACATTGGAGACTTTGCTTTGGGGTTCTTTTTCCCTGCGAAGATTCTTTCCTGTTTTTTCAGACTTTCTAAGACTTTTATGTAATTTTATGCCTACTTCTCAGTGGGAAGACCAGATAATTGAGCTTTTGAATGACCAGCCTTTTATGGTGCAACCATGCTCAGCACCCAGACATGGTCACCCACTGCTGTCCGTGGCCTACAGTGCTCACAAGCCACTTGTTAGATTGTTTTTTTGGTGTCTCTCCACTTCCAGAAAGGATTCTAGGTGGACCGAAGTAAGAATACAGGTGCACTGAGGCCGGAAGCCCACAAAGCCCAAATCACAAAGGAGCAGAAGAGGAAGCTCTAGAAGAAATCATATATCAGAATTATATCAGAAACAAAAGAACATTGTATGAGCCAAACCGCTGAAGCTTAGCTCTGAGCTTCCTGGTGGCCAAGGCAAAGGGGCAAACATGACCAGCTATGTAGTTCTCGTCCGATGGAAGGAAGATCAGTTCATCAGGGGATAGAGGTTCTAGTTCTTGCTTCGAGAGGGATTTGGCACAAGGGGCCACCACCCTGAGTCCCAGAGCTCGTTAAAATGTCCTGCTAACCAGCCTGCCACAGAGCCCACTCCTGGTAGATGCTCTCCTCTTATGGAATAAATAGGGCAGTAACCACCTGTCACAGGCATTCCTGTAGATGAGGCAGCGTGGCTCCCAACATGTGCCACCTGGTCTGTTAGTAAGAGAACGACCTCTGGCCACCGACAGAAAAACCCTGAGGGCAAATATGGACAGACTGAATTCTCCTGCTGGAGGACAGAGCCTGCCAGATTATAGCAATAGCCTAAAGAGGGGACACTAGTTTGTGATGACACACGTCATGCAGCAGGTGTCGCATTCCCACATGGAACTGCGCCGAGCAGCATGGCTGTGCCAGGGACCCTGATAAGGTACAAGATGGGAGGCAATTTGAATGTGGCATTTGGAGTCAGACATGTGGATCTAGTGGACAAAAAATAATAAAAGATGTAGGGAGCAGTTAATAGTGCAAACAGTAAACCATCTACTAGGTACATGAGAAAAATCTGTATCTTTTGAATCAGGTTTTCACATGTCCATAAAGCATTTGCAAAAATGCCTATGTACAAGGAAAACCTTAATAAATTAAAGAAGTCTGATATTTTCCAACGGTAACTCTGGACAGAACACGTGCCGCACTGAGCCCCGAGTTCAAATCCCAGCTCTGCCACCAGCCACCTGTATGTCTTCGGGCAAGTCACTTACATTTCCTGAGTCTCTACTCCCTGTCTTTAAAAAAGTTATCCTTACCTCTTAAGATCATTGTGAGGACAAATAACAGTCAAAACATGTGAGATCTTCTTGTAAGCTCTATAGAGTGGTTCCCACAAGAGTAACTGTTATAAAAGCAAGTTCCTACCCCTTCTTCCTTCCACAGTGGTGGCTACTAAGTGGCAAATTCCAGCGCAAGTCTTAGCAAGACAGTAACGATGGGCCGTGAACAGCCACAATTCCATTCCTACTACTAACAATTCCAGTATCATTTTTGAGAAGCAAAAGACATGGCTTACAATGTTTACAGTTCTGTGTATTTGCTGTATGATCTTGGGCTCATTCCTTAACCTCTCTGAGCCTTGTCCATAAAACCGTGACGATGATGCCTACCTCCTAGGCTTGCAGCGAAGATTGCAGAATGTGTCTGTAGGTAACTGACACCTAGTAAACTCCAAACCAATGGGAGAGGTAAATAATCTGTTGCTTTTCAATTCTCCAGTGCCTCTGTTGAGAACTGCAAGGGAATCAGCCAGGGTTGGGCCTGTGGGGCTCCCCTGGCCACCCCACCTGTTAAGGAGTGACCCCAAGGCTCCCTCGCACCAGAGAGGTCTTGAAGATCTCAGGCACTTAGAGGACCAAGAGGGGGCTGGGCTGTTCTTCCCCTGCTCTGGACTGATCTGGTGCCCCCGCGTCCATTCCAAAGATGCCCTACCCTCTCTCCTGGGAGTCTCTGTCTGGCCTCAGAGACTGGCAGACCAGAGGAGGCTGGTTTTGCTGCTAGGAAAGGCGTCTCTAACTGCCCGAGGTGGCGGTCGCCTGAGATTGAGTGGCCTGTGATGCAGGGCAGTGGGCGCTAGGGGGAGGCATGTCTCTTCCGCGTCACCGACCGGCCCGGTGGGAGAAGACGAGTAGAGGGCAGGTTTGCCTTGCCTTAGGCAGGAGGAGGTTTCCAGACCAGACAGGTGCGCCTGGGGCTGCTTCTCAGCGTCCTGAGAAAATGTCTCAAAAATTGTTCTTGCAAACCCCTAAGGAGAATTATTCTGTGACGGTCATGAGAGTGGGTGGGGGTGAGGGCACCTGGCTCAGGGTCCCGGGGCTGAGCCTAGGTGAGGCGAGTGAGGCACTTGCCGAAAGGCTCCGTAATCAAAGTAAATAATGTTCTAATGCAATGTTTTTTTAAAGCCCAAGTCAATGCAAGAAAATTCATGATGAACAAAATACCAAATCTTTAAATAGAGACTGGCTCCAGCCCTCCACTTACGTACTTGCCCGACTCACCACCCTTGTCTCCCCTTTTTGGGATGAAGGACTTTGGGCTCGGGGCTCTCTGGCTCGTCCCTTGCCCGCACACTCTCTGGAACTACACCTGTTCCTTGCATGTCGCCCCTCTACCGCAAGAAGTACTGCTGACCGCGCTTTCCCGGTCGCCCGAGCAGGGCGAGGCGCGACTCTCCCCTGGGACTGCACGGGATCCCAGAAATGCCAGCCCAGAGCGCCGAGGCTGTGTCAGAGCAGGTGCTGGGCCTGCAGGAACCGTGCTCTTCCAGCGGCTCCATGGACCGCAGGCCGTGACAGAGCTTGACTCGTGGTGTTCATGCCAGGCGCAGGAGTGGGGGTAGAGACACGGGGGCTCGGTGCCTGCTTTTGGGGCCCAGACCCTCCTGAGCGGTGTGTGGGGCGATTTTTTCAGGCGGGCGGAGGGAAGAGAATTCCCAGCGTGGGTGGTGGAGATGCACGGAGTCTGCTGATGACTGCCGTGAACGGGGGAGGCAGGCCCCCGACGGTGGCCCCTGTTCCCTTGTGTCCCCACCTCAGAGCCATCCTCTGTCACGGCCGCTTAGGCACGCGGGGCTCTGTCCAGGGGCTGTACGAACCGGCTCTCCTGGGCGCCTGGGGCCCGTGGGGTCTGGAGGGGAGCAGCGGCCACCGCAGGCTGGCCTCCGCACCGGGCTGGGCTGCACCCCTAGGGGACTGCAGGGCGCAGGGAGCAGGCGTGCAGGCGCGGCTCGAAAGGCAGGCAGGAGAGCTGGGCCAGGCAGGGTCCCCGCCGGCCTGGAAGGCAGGGGGGAGGCACACGAGCAAACCCGCCAAGTGTGTCCCAGCGTGGCCCTTCCAGAGCCGAGGCGCCGGGGACTCTGGGGAGCCCACCTTCCTCCCCTCACCCCCACCCCCAGAGCCGGGTAAAACCAAGGCGCGACCACCCGCCCCTACAACCTGCCGCCTGCCGCCCTCTCTCTTTCTCTTCCAGAATGCCAATCTGGCCCCTTGTGGAGCAGACCCGGATGCCAGCTGGGGCACGCGAGGTACAAGACGCGGGGACCCCCGTGGGTCTCCGGCTGGGGCAGGGGTCTCTTACCCGTTTCCATGAGTCTCATTCTGGGACGGGCCCCTCCAGGGCCGGCTGGCGAAGGCTCCAACCATCGCGCAGTGGGGGGAGCATTGGGGTGCTCGTTTCGGCTCGAGGAGCCGGTTACCTCCGTTCTTATGTTGCCTGAGGTGCTCCCTTCCCTTCATCCTTGAGAACAGCCGACCCTGTCCTGATTTGTTGGTCACTCTGGTCACTTGGGGAGAGAGATGTGTGTTGGAATAGCCATCCCGTGCCAGGACTGAGGCCAACCCAATCACCCACGGTTACATTTCATGGCAACATAACACCCCTGGGGTCTGAGTCAAATGAATTCGGGTCCCATCCTGCCTCCCACCCCTCCTGGTCACGCGGGCCTCCTGGGCTGCAAACCAGGAAGGTTGCTTGCCGGGAGGCTGGTATTCCTGGCATGACCCCGGTCGCATGGCAGGTGCCTGACCGGGGGCAGGGGGGGGCTCTGCTAGCTCTGAGCCCCTCCTGCGTGGGGTGTTCGCTCACCCCTGTCACCCTGGATGGCGGGGAGCATGTTCTCATGGGCTGCTGGCTCACGCTGGGCCGTGGAGCACTGGGGGCTCACAGCTGGCTCCCTCCACGTGGCTCTCCAAGTCATCAGGATGTCGTGTGTGGCCCGCTGGGAAATCTGGGGACCGGCCCCTGTCACCCAGGCCCCTTGCCAGGGTCTCCCTCCCAAAGCCAGCTTGTGGCCCAGGTCCTAGGGGTACTGCTTTCTAGGGGGTTCTACATGCTCACAGAGGCCCTCTGATCCATTCGGGTCTATTTTCTGACATGACGATTTTAGTCTGGCAGAAAAGCCTTTTGAAAAGTAAGCATGTGGGGCTCAGGAATATAAAGGAGGAACTACAGGCCAAGAAGGTGAGAGAGTAAGAGCCGCGGGGTCAGACCCTGCGCGGCTGTCAGTCTCTGCAATGCCCCCAATACTGCCCTGGAATGTCTGATCCGCAGGTGGGTAAACTGAGGCAGGCCGCTTTCTCAGGGCGGCCCGGACCACCAAAGAGACAGTATCACACCTGAGGAACACAGCGCTGCGTCCGGCTCCCAGTCTGGCCTCCAGCCTCCCGACCATGCCTCCCGCTCTCGGGTTCCCCCTGGGGAATCAGCTGCCCGAGGACTAGCGCCCCAGGGCAGGCCGCCGGGGGTGGGGTGGGGGGCCCCCAGGGCAGGACTGCTTCTGCCATTGGGCCGCGTTCCCGCGCTTTCTAAACTGCCACGTGTGGCTTCTGCTCTCTCTCTTACAGAATACAAGGTAAGAGGGGCCACCCGCTGCCACGCCGACCTCTGCCCGCCGCCACGCACCTGCCCAGGTTAAAAGTTCCTTTTGTTGTGGTTTCCTATGAAATGTGTGTGTCCGATGCCGGCACAAGTATGTACCTCTCGTTGGCCTTCGGCTCAGCCCTTTGGTCCCGGCACACGCCTGCTTCCTGGGGTCAACCTGCGGTCTCCCCTCCCCACAGGTCTATCCTTATGACGCCCTCATTGTCACCAACCGAATTCGCGTCAAACTGCCCAAGGATGTGGACCGGACGCGGCTGGAGGTAGGAGGGCATCTCTGGGGGCGGGGGGTGTGCGTTCCGGCTGGGAGGTCCCCGGCACACGTCTGTCTGCGGCGTCAGCGCTCAGCACCCCTGAGGGTTCCCGTGGGTGGCGGGGGCGCCACCAGGCCCACAGCGGGCTCGGAGCCCAGGCCCCGCGTTGTTCCGAGGGCTGAGAACCGTGGGAGTCTCCCCCAACACAGGTGGCTTTGCAGAGGGCTCTGCTGTGTGTGTCTGGCCAGGGAGGGCTTCATGACAGCGCCCAGTCGGTGGTGCTTGTCCTTCCCCTGGGGACTGGTGTTAGGAAGCTGGTCACGATCCGTGGCCTCTCGTTTGGCCACATTTACCCCCAGTGAGAATAATAAACTCATCTCTGGAGAGCACGTGTAGGCTTAAAAGGCCAACAGGATGTCAGCTCAGGGTAGGTATTTGGATGATACTTGTTGATCGCAAGGACTTTGCTGAGCACTCGCTAGGAGCCGCGGTCCCCATGGTTGACGTGCAGGACTTAATCCCCACAATTGCCCTACCGAGTAATCAATGTCCATGCACTAGATCTCACCTCCTGAGCCCTGTCACGGATGTTTCGCTGCCTTTTAATGACCGTTTTGCGGGGTGCTGCGGGATCTGGAGGCTCCTGAAGGCCTAGGGCTGCCCTGCCCCGTCCGTGCCCCAGGGCTGGGCACACGGGAGGTGCGGGGAGCATCTGACGCAGAGTGTGTGTCCAGCCAGCGCGGAGCTGCCCGACCGCCCACCTGGGAGGGAGCCCTAGGGGCGTGGACACAGCCGAGGGGCACCCAGCCAGCGCGGGAGGGCTGCCAGGAGAAGTCGGGAGGCCAGGTGCATCTGCACAGGATTGCCACCTAAGACGGGATGGACGGAGGCCCCGGCGGTGCACTGGGGTGGAGGGAGGGGGGCTGGTCCACTGGCAGCAAGAAACATGGGGCTGGCCTTTGAAGGAGGGATGGGACTCTCACCAGCAAAGAAGGGAGAGCATTGAAGGGTCTTCCAGGCCAAGGGACCCGCAAGTAAAGTCTTCTGTGGGGGGACCTGCAGGATGTGCCCGGGCAAGAAGGGAGCCCTCGGTGATGGGGGTCGGGCACCGACTTCCCTGCACTAATTGGCCTTGATGCATGCGCCCTTCAGGTGAACATACAGCTGCCTACTGCGTGGGTCACTGGGCCCCTCGCCTAGGGCCCGGGACAGCATCCCTCGGCAGGGGGATAGTGGTGGCGGGGAAGGGCTTGGGGACGCTGGTGTGGCCACAGCCTTGCACAGAGACACATCCGTGTTGACCCTTTCTGTTGCAAGTGATGGGTGCCTGACCCAAAGTGACTCAAGCAAAAAGGAGATCACCAGCCATAGGGTTGATGGGTCCCCACAGGGGTGGCTCGGTCCTGCCTCAGGACCAGTTTCCTTCCCACCGTCTCCTGGCTGTGCGTCCTCTGTGTGTGTGTCGGCCTTGTCGAGAGACAGACTTCTACCTCACCTCTCCCAGGCTCAGAGTCTGCAGAGAAGAGATCCCGTGTGCCTGGTCTCTCTCTCTCTCTTCCTCTCTCTCAGAAGTCCTGGCCCTGCCTTATTTCCACCTCTGGGTGGGTCCTCTGATCAGCCCTGAGTCAACCAGCTTGGCGGGGGACTGCAATGCCCATCGGCCAGGCTTGGCTACAGGCACTCCTAGAGCCAGGGGACAGCTCGGAGCTCTGGGACCTGGGACCTCCAGGGAGCTGGGGTGCTGCGGCTGGGGGGGAGGGGGCGGCATGGCCCAGTGAGCCCACAAATGCCACAGGAAGGCAGTGCCATGAACCCGCCAAATCCTGCCATCATCCAGGACACGAGGGCATCGTGCCCGGCAAAGGACCACAGAGGCGGAGGACACATGAGCACCTTGCTCAGGAGGCTGTCTGTTTAGCAGGACATTTGGACCTTGCCCCACGGAAAAGGAAAGATGCTCGAAAAGTTCTGACCTGTTGGGATAAGCGCAGGTCATCCGTGGGGTCTGGGGAGGCCGGGGCAGCCGAGGCCAGCTGGGAAGCAGGTGTGCGAGTCTAGGGGGGCAGGGGGCCCCTGGGGCTCATCCCCAGGTGCAGCTCCTGGCACGTGGAGGTGGCCAGAGAGCACGTGTGCACACAGACGCCAGGAACCAGGAGGGCCACCTCACACTCCGGGGGTGCCTGCCATGGGGGAGTAGATAGGGTCTTGGGCGGCCTCTTCATGGGGCTCGGGTATGACAATCCCCACTTTCTCTGTAGGGGATGTGCTCTTGGGCTCCTGCTGAGTGGAGTCCTTGTTAATCATGCGGTCATGTCCCCAGCCTGGAGGGCGCCTATTTGCTGTGTGTCTTTGTTCCTTATAGGGCCAAGCCCTGTGGGCTGGTTGCTCTCATCCCAAGAGCCGAGCCCAGAACAAGATGCCTGGAGCTTCCGGCACAGCGACGACCCCGGGCCAGGTTTCCCTCTTGGGACTGGGGTACCCTTTAAATGACACCCCCTTTTCTTTTTGCTAAATACCGAATGCAAGATGAATAGTGGTTAATACCTCTAAATACTTCCTTTTGAACAAACTCTGAGGATTGGATAATGGGTTTAATCATCCATTCTCCAAGAACACACCCACGGGTGCGTCTCTGTAATCACTTTCCTCTCATCTCTGCCGAGCCGAGAGGCAAGCTGGGAATGTTACCAGCAGGGGCACACCCCACATTCTTCGGGGCTCGGAGCCGGGAGGTGAGCCAGGAGTGGCCTAGGAGGAGCCGGCCACATCCCAGCAGGACAGGAGGCCCCTGATATTTTTATTTCAGGGAGAGGGCTTTATTTTTAATATCAAAACAATTTATAACTCTTGTAGAACTCCAGAAAAATGCAAAGAAGAACGCAAACATCACACGGAATTCCCCCACCAAGTCATAACTTCTGTTAGCACCATGGTAGACATGATTCCGGAAATCTCTTTCTGCACAAATACCCAAGATCGCTGAATCTGATTTTTGATGTGTAGGTTCACACTGTTTATGTAGTTTGATATCAGCTTTTTAAAAAAGATGTTATTCATTTATTTATTTGAGAGAGAGAGAAAGAGCATGAGTGGGGGCGGGGAGTAGCACAGGGAGAGGGAGAAGCAGACTCCCTCCTGAGCAGGGAGCCCGATGCGGGGCTCGATCCCAGGACCCAGAGATCATGACCTGAGCCAAAGGCAGACGCATAACCAAATGAGCCACACAGGCACCCCTGATAATCAACTTTTTTTCGCTTAAGTTTGACATGAACACTTTCCACGCTAGTTAATATGGATCTGCTCATCCTTTTAATGGCTGTGTGATGGTCCCACGTCCACACTTGGGAGGGTCTGAAAGGCCAAGCTGTGGAGTGGCAGACGTGGCCTCTGCTCGCGCCCCGCCGGCTAGACCTTGGTCACACGTCAAAGCTCCATGCAAGGCAGGCTGGGCGTGTTGTGTGGCCAGCAAGAGGAGAGGATGGATTTGGGTGGACAGCTGGTGAGCCCAGCTCATCTCTGTAGGGTCAGTCCCTGGAAGGAGGACTGCTCTGTCGAGTTCTCCACCCTTGCTCCCAGAATGCTTAGCTGACTCTCTCGTTCATTTGCTGAGTATGTGCCAGGCACTGAGCGGGGGTCCCGGGATGCGTGATGAGCAAACACAGGCATGAGCTCTGCCCTCCCAGGCTCAGTCTGATGGGGGAGACAAAATCAATCACCTGATAGCCCAAACGAGTGTGTGTAATTATATACCAAGATAAGGGCTCTAAAGGGGAGGAACATGGGCCATTAAAAATGGGTAAAAGTTAACTGGGTGTAGTAAGTGTTGTGTTTACGTGTGTGTGTGCACGTCTGTGCATGTGTGTAAGGTGAGGGAGGCCCACAGGGAGAGAATTCCAGGAAGAGCAGACTGCATATGCAAAGGCCCTGGGGCAGGAGGAAGCCAGGGCTATTTGAGGAAGCACTTTAAAGGGCTAAGGTGGCTGTACTTGAGCGGGGTGAAGATCAGAATGCGGCCAGGCCTTACAGGGCCCTGGGCCATGGTAAGCAGTTCGGATTTTAGTCTTAAGGACAATGGTTTTTAAGTTGAGGGACTCCCTGATTAGGTTTGTAATTCAAAACACCAGTGAGGCTGAACTGTGAGGCCCAGATTGGCCATGTGGGTGCAGGGAGACTGTCTGGGAGGCTCACAACGGAGGGGCCTCATCCAGTCTGCTGGAGGCCTTAAGAGCAAAACCGGCCGCTTTCCCGGAATGAAATTCTGCTTCTAAGTGTCAGAGAGGTGCAGGGAGTGGCCTCCGGATATTTGCTTCTGCCCAGGGACAGTTAGGGCTCCTTCTGCTCCTGGAAACTCCTGGAAGCAGACCCTCAGAGGGTAACCGCCAAATGCAGGAAGGGCCAGAGCTCCTCCAACGCATGAGGCCCTCAGGTTCTGGGGGCAGGGCCCAGACCCTCTAAGACAGAAAGCCCTGGATCTCAGAGCCCTCCAGACTCGACACCTCCAGGGTTTGCAAGTGCTCACGTCTGTGGGAAGGGTGGGTCCCCTTGCAGAGGAGTCTTGCGGTTTCTGGATCGCCCCCACCAGACCTTGAATCTAAATGCACACCTGACTTTGTTCCAACAGTAAGAACCCAAGTCAGAAAGTCCCTGGGAAAAAAAAAGGACCCTGTGGTTAAGAATACTTCCTTTGTTTAAACCCATCCAACTGGTCTGGTGAGAATCTGATAGACTGATGGCAGCAGCTGAGTGTGTGCCCAGCGCATGGGCATGGGTGCCTCTGAGAGA